TAGGCCTTTTTGCTTCTTGCTTCTGGTGAGTGCAGAGTGGTGGTGTATTTTCACAGAAGTCATTTTTTATTGTTGATCACTACTGGTTCACACAGTATGTTGGACATTTCTATTGTTGGTCATCATTGATACACAGAATATTGTTGGACACTGCAATACTGGACTTTATGAAAGTGAATATTTACATATATTGTTTTGTTTTTGTTTATTTATAAGCGATCCACCTTTATTTATGTACAGTTAGGTCCATATATATTTGGACACAGGCACAATTTTAGTTTTTTTCAGCTATTTTCCAAAACATATTCAAGCTATAGTTATATAATGGATTTGGGTACACTCTCCGGTTTAATTTGAGGGTATGTACATCCAAATTGGAGGAAGGGTTAAGGAATTACAGCTCTTAAGAATAGACATCCCCCCTTTTTCAAGGGACCAAAAGTAATTAGACAATTGAATCAAAAGCTGTTTCATGGCCAGGCGTGGGCTACGCCTTCGTTATTTCTTCATCAATTAAGCAAGTAAAAGAGTTGATTCTAAGTGTGGTATTTGCATTTGGAATCTATTTCTGTGAACCTACATCATGCGTTCAAAGGAGCTGTCCATGCAAGTGAAACAGGCCATTGTAAGGATTCAAATAGAAAAAAAAATCCATCAGAGAGAGAGCAGCAACATTAGGAGTGGCCAAACCAACAGTTTGGTACATTCTGAGGAAAGAAGAACACAATGGTGAGCTCAGCAACATAAAAAGGCATGGACATCCATGGAAGACAACAGTGGTGGATGATCACAGGATCCTCTCTATGATAAAGAAAAACCCATTCACAACATCCAGACAAGTGAAGGACGTTCTCCAGGAGGTGGGCATATCATTATCATAGTCTACAATCAATAGAAGACTTCACGAGATCAAATACAGAGGGTTCACCACAAGGTGCATACTATTCATAAGCCTGAAGAATAGAAAAGCCAGATTAGACTTTGACAAAAACATCTAAAAAAGCCAGACCAGTTCTGGAAAAGCATTCTTTGGACAGATGAAATGAAGATTAATCTGTACCAGGCTTGGAGAAGGCTTGGAACACCTCATGATCCAAAGCATACAACATCATCTGTAAAACATGGTGGAGGCAGTGTGATGGCATGGGCATGCATGGCTTCCAGTGGCACTGGGTCATTGGTGTTTATTGATGATGTGACAGAAGACAGAAGCAGCCAGATGAATTCTGCAGTGTTTAGAGATATACTGTCAGCCCAGATTCAGCCAAATGCAACAAAGTTGATTGGACAGTGTTCCACAGTACCAATGGACAATGATCCAAAACACACTGCAAAAGCAACCCAGGAGCTTTTGAAGGAAAAAAAAGTGGAATATTCTGCAATGGCTGAGTCAATCACCTTATCTCAACCCAATTGAGCATGCATTTCACTTGCTGGAGGCAAAACTAAAAACACAGAAAGACCCATAAACAAAGAACAGATGAAGACAGCTGCAGCTAGAGCCTGGCAAAGCATCAGAAAGGAGGAAACCCAGTCTTTGGTAATGTCCATGGGTTTCATACTTCAGGCAGCCATTGCCAGTAAAGGATTCTCAACAAAATATTAAAAATAAACATTTTGCTTATGATTATATTCAATTGTCCAATTAATTTTGGTCCCTTGAAAAAGAGGGGATGGCTACTCTTAAGAGCTGTATTTCCTAAACCCTTCCTCCAATTTGGATGTCCATACCCTCAAATTAAACCTAAGAGTGTGCACTTTCAGCCCATTTTCATTATATAACTATAGCTTGAATATGTTTTGGTAAATACCTGAAAAAATCTAAAATTGTGCCTGTGTCCAAATATACTGTATATGGACCCAACTGTATTTATATAGTGGAAGTAGAGGGTTTGCTACATTGTGCTAGCTGCTCATATACCTCTTTGCGCTCAATGTTTATATTTTTTTACATGTAGCTGTTTGATTTCAGTTCAAATTTAGGAAGATATATGTAAAGGGATCTGTATAGAAAGGATGGCAGTGAGAATGTAAACCGTGCAGAGATCGTTTTTATGAAGAGAACTGAATTCTGCTGACCATTTTCTGTATCCACACATTGCAGTAAATGTCATTATGTGTGAAAAGGCTGTGCATGAAAGTGACAATGTCGTATACATCGTGTGACAGGCCTCTTACCCTCCACATTTTACAATGTGATTTAGTCCTGGGGCTTTATTTTTAAAGCAGAAGCTTTATTTTATTTAGTGTCACTTATTAATGATACAGAGAGTTATGTATTTACTTGCTTATGTTGCATAAGAGTTTAACAACATCAGATAATCCCTATTTGCATTCAAACAGGTGAATCAACACAAAATAAACAAACCTTTATATGAAGAAAAACACTCTTTACTGAACACTTAGACGTGTCTGGAAGAAAACAGAAACTGGTACCTGTGTGTAGCCACTGTTCATTATGTAATAGCAGAGAAGGACTGACCAGGAAAAAAGGTACAGCCACATGATGCCACTCATCAGACAGTACCAGAGGTCAGACATCTGAAAAAAAAAACAAATTCCAACCAATAAGGAAAGAATGAATGAATGAAGCTACAGTAAAAGTAAATTATGCAGGTTTTTACAATGAGTATTCGCAGCTGCTCTCTCGGGATTGGTTGAGAGCTGTAAAGGAGTCAGCAAACAGCTTAAAACAGCCTTTATGCACAAGTACTATTTAGATGGAACGACAAGATGGATTGTTTACATCAGATGAGCTCTACAAGAAACAATATGACATACTCCTCCCAACATTACGAGACACCTTACACAATGCATTTGACACTGTCAAACTTATTGCTTCTTTGTATGACACTTCTATAATTGTAATTCCAATGCCAGGCAAAGATGTTACTAAACCAGACTCCTCAGGGATGTGCAATTCATATCGCCTGTCGCCCGGGACACGCAGGTCCGGGGATCAAGCAGGTGTTTCTTTTTTTACATTTAGCCCTGCTGTGGGCAAGTATGTTTGTTTTTTTGTTGTTTTTTTTTTTTTGTGGAGTGGACACCAGTGAAGCATGAACAGATCTTCATGCTACACCAGAATTAGTGGGCTCTCCACTCATCCATGCTGCTATCCGGTGCTAGCAGTCCCCTCTTCGGTGGCCTATCACTAGTTAGGTGGTTCCCTCAGCGCATTCACTCTGCTCAGCGGCTCTGTTCAGTCTAGGCCACTCCCACACTTTTCTTATTATCCTCCTCCTTCTTGGACACGCTGCCAAGCCGCCCTTCCCTCAGTCCTCACCTCAGCACTCGCTCTCCTTCTCTCCATTTGTATCCCTCTATCTGCATATACTCTGCTGCAGAACAAACACACATCGGACAGCCTCAGGACCTGGACCACCATACAGGACATATCAATGGCAACACGCATCAAACTGTGTCCTATTACTTCTCATCTACTCCACCTGCCACATCGACACACAGCATTGTACTCAGTGTGGGGATAGTCAGATGTTGCATGGCACCTCCGACCATCCCTACGCTCTGCATACCACCTCCAACCATCCCTACACTCAGCAAGACAGCTCTGTAGGGATGCTCAGAGGTGTCATGCTGAGTGTAGGAATGATCATAGATGTGATAACTGAGTGTAGAGATGGTCAGAGGTGGCATGTTGAGCATAGGTATGGTCAGAGGTGTGATTGCTGAGAGTAGAGATGGTCAAAGGTGTAACTGCTGAGCGTAGGGATGGTCAGACAGGGAGGCACAAATCCTATCACCGGACGCCTGAGACATGCCATTCCAGGCTCTGGGTAAGTGGGGTTTTTTTACACATATGCAGCCTCATGACATGTGAAAAATTAAATAAAAATTAAAAAGAAAAAAAAGAATAAAGAAAAAAAAAAAAACTAAATCAGGTTTTGTCAAAGTTAGTGTTAGGGTTAAGGTTAGGGTCATGGCCAGTATATTTTGGGTACATTTAAAAAAAAACCAAAACATTTTTTAAATTAGTATCAGGGTCTATGTCAGGGCTCCCGGGTATGACCAGAGGTGTGTGACTGACGCAGGGAAACGCAGACTTCAGATATGTTATAAACAATATAATTTATTAACACTAACAATACAAACATAAACGCAGTGCAATACTAAAACATAACACAGTGCAAACAAACCAAACCAAACCAACCACAGATAACAATACATACAATGCAAGCGTCGTCAGGCAGGCCGGGTCAATATCAATCGGGCAGGTAGGTACAGGGGGAGCAAGCGGAGAATGGTCGGGGTCACAAGCCAGGTTCAGCAGGTAGCGGGCAGCGTGGTACAGAGGGTCAGGCAGAGGGATGGTCAGGAACGAGCCGGGGTCAGAGCAGGAGAAGTCAGCAGAGGTCCAGATCAGGCAGGGTCAGGAACAGGAACAGGATGCAGGATGCAGGAACAGGATACAGGGCCCAGGAAAAACACACACCAAGGCAGAGTCTGGCCATCCCTTAAATACACCAGTATAAGCAGTTTCAGGTGTTTGGCTGGCTGCGAGGTTGAGTCTCTGATTGCTGGGAGCACCCGCTGGCCAGCCCTGGTACTGCAGCCCATAAGGCAGGCGAGTCCCACCATTGCTGGCCAGTCCATTCCTGACAGTACCCCCCCCTCAAGGAGCGGCCTCAGGATGCTCCAAACAGTCCTAGCTGGGCAAAATGTTCCACCGCCCGGGTCTGGTAACTGGCGGGATATCAAAGACTGGCACACCGGGCAGCGGCACATCGGGCAGAGGCACATCGGGCTGGACTCCGGGCAGAGGCACATCGGGCTGGACTCCGGGCAGAGGCACATCGGGCTGGACTCCGGGCAGAGGCACATCGGGCTGGACTCCGGGCAGAGGCACATCGGGCTGGACTCCGGGCAGAGGCACATCGGGCTGGACTCTGGGCAGAGGCACATCGGGCTGGACTCCGGGCAGAGGCACATCGGGCTGGACTCCGGGCAGAGGCACATCGGATCACCAGGCGAAGCAGCAGGCAGCGGGCCCCCAGGTGGAGCGGCAGGCAGCGGGCCCCCAGGCGGAGCGGCAGGCACCGGGCCCCCAGGTGGAGCGGCAGGCACCGGGCCCCCAGGCGGAGAGGCAGGCACCGGGCCCCAGGCGGGGCGACGGGCACCGGGCCCCCAGGCGGGGCGACGGGCACCGGGCCCCCAGGCGGGGCGACGGGCATCGGGGGCCCCCAGGTGGGGCGCCGGGCCCCCAGGCGGAGCGGTGGGGCGCCGGGCCCCCAGGAGGGGCGACAGGCATCGGGCCCCCAGGCGGGGCGACAGGCATCGGGCCCCCAGGCGGGGCGAAAGGCATTGGGCCCCCAGGCGGGGCGACGGGCATCGGGCCCCCAGGAGGGGCGACGGGCATCGGGCCCCCAGGCGGAGCGGCGGGCGCCGGACCCCCAGGCGGAGCGACAGGTCTCGGGTCCCAGGAGGAGCGGCGGGCGCCGGACCCCCAGGCGGAGCGACAGGTCTCGGGCCCCCAGGCGGAGCGGCGGGCGCCGGACCCCCAGGCGGAGCGACAGGTCTCGGGCCCCCAGGCGGAGCGGCAGGTCTCGGGCCCCCAGGCGGAGCGGCGGCGCCGGCCCCCGGACCCCCAGGCGGAGCGACAGGTCTCGGGTCCCCAGGAGGAGCGGCGGGCGCCGGACCCCCAGGCGGAGCGACAGGTCTCGGGCCCCCAGGCGGAGCGACAGGTCTCGGGTCCCCAGGAGGAGCGGCGGGCGCCGGACCCCCAGGCGGAGCGACAGGTCTCGGGCCCCCAGGCGGAGCGGCGGGCGCCGGACCCCCAGGCGGAGCGACAGGTCTCGGGCCCCCAGGCGGAGCGGCAGGTCTCGGGCCCCCAGGCGGAGCGGCGGCGCCGGACCCCCAGGCGGAGCGACAGGTCTCGGGCCCCAAGGCGGAGCGGCGGGCGCCGGACCCCCAGGCGGAGCGAGGTCTCGGGCCCCCAGGCGAAGCGGCGGGCGCCGGACCCCCAGGCGGAGCGACAGGTCCCGGGCCCCCAGGCGGAGCGGCGGGCGCCGGACCCTCAGGCGGAGCGACAGGTCTCGGGCCCCCAGGCGGAGCGGCGGGCGCCGGACCCCCAGGCGGAGCGACAGGCACCGGGCCCCCAGGCGGAGCGCAGGCACCGGGCCCCCAGGCGGAGCGGCGGCAGGCACCGGGCCCCCAGGCGGAGAGGCAGGCACCGGGCCCCCAGGCGGGGCGACAGGCACCGGGCCCCCAGGCGGGGCGACGGGCACCGGGCCCCCAGGCGGGGCGACGGGCATCGGGCCCCCAGGTGGGGCGCCGGGCCCCCAGGCGGAGCGGTGGGCGCCGGGCCCCCAGGAGGGGCGACAGGCATCGGGCCCCCAGGCGGGGCGACAGGCATCGGGCCCCCAGGCGGGGCGAAAGGCATTGGGCCCCCAGGCGGGGCGACGGGCATCGGGCCCCCAGGGGGGCGACAGGCATCGGGCCCCCAGGCGGAGCGGCGGGCGCCGGACCCCCAGGCGGAGCGACAGGTCTCGGGTCCCCAGGAGGAGCGGCGGGCGCCGGACCCCCAGGCGGAGCGACAGGTCTCGGGCCCCCAGGCGGAGCGGCAGGCGCCGGACCCCCAGGCGGGAGCGACAGGTCTCGGGCCCCCAGGCGGAGCGGCAGGTCTCGGGCCCCCAGGCGGAGCGGCGGCGCTGGACCCCCAGGCGGGCGACAGGCGACAGGTCTCGTGCCCCCAGGCGGAGCGGCGGGCGCTGGACCCCCAGGCGGAGCGACAGGTCTCGGGCCCCCAGGCGGAGCGACAGGTCTCGGGCCCCCAGGCGGAGCGACAGGTCTCGGGCCCCCAGGCGGAGCGGCGGCGCCGGACCCCCAGGCGGAGCGACAGGTCTCGGGCCCCAAGGCGGAGCGGCGGGCGCCGGACCCCCAGGCGGAGCGACAGGTCTCGGGCCCCCAGGCCCCCAGGCGAAGCGGCGGCGGAGCAACAGGTCCCGGGCCCCCAGGCGGAGCGGCGGGCGCCGGACCCTCAGGCGGAGCGACAGGTCTCGGGCCCCCAGGCGGAGCGGCGGGCGCCGGACCCCCAGGCGGAGCGACAGGTCTCGGGCCCCCAGGCGGAGCGGCGGGCGCTGGACCCCCAGGTGGAGCGACACAGGCACCGAGACAGGCTGGACTCCGGGCAGAGGCACATCGGGCTGGACTCCGGGCAGAGGCACATCGGATCACCAGGCGAAGCAGCAGGCAGCGGGCCCCCAGGTGGAGCGGCAGGCAGCGGGCCCCCAGGCGGAGCGGCAGCCACCGGGCCCCCAGGCGGAGCAGGCAGGCACCGGGCCCCCAGGCGGGGCGACAGGCACTGGGCCCCCAGGCGGAGCGACAGGTCCCGGGCCCCCAGGCGGAACGGCGGGCGCCGGACCCCCAGGCGGAGCGACAGGACTCGGGCCCCCAGGCGGAGCGGCGGGGGCGCCGGAACCCCCAGGCGGAGCGACAGGTCTCGGGCCCCCAGGCGGAGCGGCGGGCGCTGGACCCCCAGGTGGAGCGACAGGCACCGAGTCACCAGGCACGACAGTGGGCTCCGAGTCAACTGGCATGACCGCTGGCACTGGGTCAGACAATGGATCGTCTGGCTGGACAGCGGGCATCGGGTCACCAGGCATCAGGTCATTTGGCTCGACAGCGGGCACCGCGTCATCTGGCAAGGCAGTGGGCTCCGAGTCAACTGGCATGACCGCGGGCACTGGGTCAGACATTGGATCGTCTGGCTGGACAGCGGGCATCGGGTCACCAGGCATCAGGTCATTTGGCTCGACAGCGGGCACCGCGTCATCTGGCAAGGCAGTGGGCTCCGAGTCAACTGGCATGACGTGGGCACTGGGTCAGACATCGGATCGTCTGGCTGGACAGCGGGCATCGGGTCACCAGGCATCAGGTCAATTGGCTCGACAGAGGGCACTGCGTCATCAGGTACCGGATTGTCTGGCTCGACAGCGGGCATCGGGTCACCAGGTATGACAGCGGGCACTGGGTCACCAGGCATCAGGTCATTTGGCTCGCCAGCGGGCACCGCGTCATCTGGCAAGGCAGTGGACACCGAGTCACCAGGCACGACAGCGGGCTCTGAGTCAATTGGCACGACAGCAGGCACCGGATCAGGTACTGGATCGTCTGGATCAACAGCGGGCATTGAGTCAACTGGCCTAATAGGATCATCAGGCTGGATCAGTTCATCATGCTGGGTAGAGGCATCAGGCTGAGTAGAGGCATCAGGCTGAGTAGAGGCATCAGGCTGAGTAGAGGCATCAGGCTGAGTAGAGGCTTCAGGCTGAGTAGAGCTTCAGGCTGAGTAGAGGCTGAGTAGAGGCATCAGGCTGAGTAGAGGCTTCAGGCTGAGTAGAGGCTTCAGGCTGAGTAGAGGCATCAGGCTGAGTAGAGGCATCAGGCTGAGTAGAGGCATCAGGCTGGGTACAGGCATCAGGCTGAGTAGAGGCATTAGGCTGGGTACAGGCATCAGGCTGAGTAGAGGCATCAGGCTGGGTACAGGCATCAGCTGAGTAGAGGCATCAGGCTGAGTAGAGGCATCAGGCTGAGTACAGGCATCAGGCTGAGTACAGGCTTCAGGCTGGGTACAGGCATCAGGCTGGGTACAGACCTCAGGCTGAAGTGCGGGTGCCGAGGCACCAGGCTGAACCACGGAAGGCCGGTTCTCAGACGGCAGGCTCACCAGTTTGGATACTGGCAGGATGGTATTGGTTGGAAAGAATTTTCGCCTTTTTTTTCTGGTTTTAACTACTGGAGCACTGCAAGTAAAGGCAGGTCTGCAAACGAATGGAGCAGCTGGAGACAGAGAAGAGCTGGAGGATGGAACAGGGGAGGGAACAGTTGCTACAGAGGACTTCTTTACAGGGTTAAAGGCAGGATAGGTGCAGCGAGTGGGAAAAGGGTACTGACATGCGGTAGTTAGCAGGGCAGGAGGAGCTGCTGTAGGGAATGCAGGAATAGAGCTTTGAGGAAATAGATTAGAAGCAGGACTGGGTTTTTGTAGGCTGACTGAGGCTGGGTGCAACAAATCTGTCCATGTCTGCAGTATGGGTTGAACAAAGCTCAGTTTACACAAAGCCTGTCTGGTCAAAGACTGCACTGCGTTTATACAATCCCTTAGTACCTGTGGTGAACATGCAGAATAACGCTCCAGAAAGTAATCCACATCATCCTCTAATAACCATACCAGGGACTCTACCTGGTCGGCACTAAATGGCGGCAAAAATTCATCCCTGCATTAGGGGTACCAGATGAAACCAACTCCGCACAAACCTGAATCAATGGCTGCACCTCAGAGAATTCTGTGCCCTGATCTACTAGAACATGAGCGAGCCGTATACATTCTAGCAGTTGATCCCTGGGATACTCCTTCAGAGTTTGATAAGCATACTCTCTGTCATCAAACACTAGCAGATATAAATACACAACCTCATCAAGATCCATCCTTCCCAGCAACAAGCCAAGATGGCTTCCCTGTGCAGCCACTTCTGGTCAGGATTGGCCTTGGTGTAATGTCAGGGCTCCCGGGTATGACCAGAGGTGTGTGACTGACGCAGGGAAACGCAGACTTCAGATATGTTATAAACAATATAATTTATTAACACTAACAATACAAACATAAACGCAGTGCAATACTAAAACATAACACAGTGCAAACAAACCAAACCAAACCAAACCACCCACAGATAACAGTACATACAATGCAAGCGTTGTCAGGCAGGCCGGGTCAATATCAATCGGGCAGGTAGGTACAGGGGGAGCAAGCGGAGAATGGTCGGGGTCACAAGCCAGGTTCAGCAGGTAGCGGGCAGCGTGGTACAGAGGGTCAGGCAGAGGGATGGTCAGGAACGAGCCGGGGTCAGAGCAGGAGAAGTCAGCAGAGGTCCAGATCAGGCAGGGTCAGGAACAGGAACAGGATGCAGGAACAGGATACAGGGCCCAGGAAAAACACACACCAAGGCAGAGTCTGCAGGTCTGGCCATCCCTTAAATACACCAGTATAAGCAGTTTCAGGTGTTTGGCTGGCTGCAAGGTTGAGTCTCTGATTGCTGGGAGCACCCGCTGGCCAGCCCTGGTACTGCAGCCCATAAGGCAGGTGAGTCCCACCATTGCTGGCCAGTCCATTTCTGACAGTCTATATGTTTTAGGCAGGTTAAAAAATTTCAAAATGGCCACCATTTTTTTCTGGGTCCTAGTACGGGTACAAACAACTAACATACATATATGTATGAAGTAATGGTAGTGCAGGAACAGTTAAAGGGCACAAATGTATAAACCTACTGCAGGACAATTTTATGGTACAGTTCATAGAGGCCCCAACTAGGAATGATGCTCTGTTGGACCTGGTAATCTCAAACCATACAGAGCTTATTACAAATATCCATAAAAAAAACCATTTGGGTAGCAGTGATCATAACATGATTTCATTTATTGTTAGCATCAAGCATATACGGGAAAAATAAAACACTCGACTTTAAGAGAGCTAATTTTCCAAGGCTGAGAGCTGCTCTCCAAGACTTAGACTGGGAGGGAATATTGGCATCGATGAACACAACACAGAAATGGGA